TTTTTAAAATAAAGGGGATATCTGTCAAAAATAAGCAAAACGTTAACTTTATCCTAGTTGCATAAAATTTGACATATGGATATAAAAATGCCGTAGACACAACTTTTTCAAGTAACTTTTTGTTAAATTCGATCTAGAAATGCACTTTTTCAATTTAAAAAAAAAAAAAAGTTGAATTTGACGAACACTGAACGTCGGTGGGTCGCAGTTGGCCGCATCATTTCAAGTTAAATTTAAAGCACAAACAAATGCCGAAGTTAAACTTCATTGAAACTTTTCGAATAAAAAGTTTCCCATATGGTGCGCACTTGAATGGTGACACTGTATATATGATTTTCATAAAATTAAATATTGCTGTATTTATTGAGCGAGTTTTGATGTAGCCATGTTGAGTCTCACTAAAAAGGTTACATTCACCAAGAAAACTCGGTATTTGTTACTTGATGCTAATTTAAATAATTTGAAAAATGATGATGATCAATGTATTGGTTTGTAGTCTTGTAAAAAAAATTGTATAATTTTTTAAATAAATTGGTTTTATGAGAGAAATCTTCAGATTGCAAGGAAATACTAGATATGTCATTGAGATACTCAATATAAAGCTCAAAAGCTCTCATATAGCATCAATACAAAATTTCCTTAGATCAGTTGAAATATCTTTACATCCGCAGCTGAATTAATTTTTGAGTTGTTTTCAAAGTTCAACTTCCTCAAATGGACTTATTTCCGCCAATTGCAAATTTGAATTATTTTTCGTTATATTGCTTCAATATTTTCTTCTAGTTTAGTGTACCAATTGCGATTATCGTTTCATGGAATTTCTTTACATGTGCTCCACATAGTTTTAGATTTATCAGCAGATTTTTTTCATTTTGTTAAAATATTTTGATATTATTTGTTCTTAAATAAAAATATGTATATGTGTGATCAGCATCGAGTTGTTCTTTACAGTGTTTGTTGATTTCAGTTCCAAAGGAAATTGTTTGTTGAATAAGTTCAAAAATATTGTCATGAGTGTATTCCATTGCTGATCCACTTCATTCTATTTACTCTTCACTATTCACCCCACAGTTACGCAAGTAATTTTTTACATAACATCCAAGGTATTTTTCCTGCATAAGTGCAACCCTTGCCAAAAATTAACTGTCCCAAGAATTCAAAGACTGACTCAATGGAAAATTATCTCATGAGATCAATGTTGAAGTAATGTAATAATGTAAGCTTAATGAACACAAAAAGTTCAAAGCAGTAACCTTTTTGCTCACCGTGCTAACAAGAATCAATATCATCTAAGACCACACATGAGGCTTTTGAGGATGTATGCACGCGCTTCTACCTTTCAATGTGGATTTTGATCCACTCAGTAATGACAATCATTTATGTTTATGAGGACATCTAATAATTGCAATTATTTGACGTACCGATACATCACGTCACTTCCAGGGAAGTTGAATATAAATTTTATTTCACTGATAAAAGAATATCTAATTATTATTTGAATTGGAAGGATTCTATTTCCAGGAGTAATTAATTTTTGGGAAAGAAAGTTTTTGACTTTCTACTACTCCATCTTGATACAGAAAAATGTGGGAATCTTTCAAAGAAGGTAGAGAAGGAATCAATTTCAAAAGAATTATTTCTATACGTCGACGTGTATGTCATACAAAGAAGTAACTTATCGATACAAACCGGAAGAAAAATCCCTCCTGAAACAGCTTCTTTCATATAAACATTGAATTACACGGAAGAAAAATCCTTTCGAAACAAATACTCTTATATGAACACTGAATTATACAAAAAAAACACTTTTCTTTACTCTGTTTGTATTCCAAACATTCATTATGGAATTCAATCAGATATCATTCACAGGATTGCTACACAATATAGTACATAGATTACTACATTGAACTCTGTCATTCTCCCTGGTACACTTCCGATGTTTCTCCGTAAGACACTCGCCTTAGGGCTCTTCAGTACCAATCTGGATAATTGTTATTTTCTTTATCTAGGGTATGTGGATGTCTGACCCCTTTTTATCTTATACGTGTTAGGATCGGGAAATTGGTTTTCTAATTCCAGTTTGAATGAATTGTGATATATATCTTGTTCATTTGCCAATTAGATATCCTTTTCTTGGGGAGGCAACCAAATCGCTTCCTGGCTGCTTCGCCCAACCTCCTAAATTTGTTAACAGCATCAGGAGTTGGACAACTGAGAAGTTTTTTCTCTTGATCCGAATAGTTGGGATTCTTAATCGATATCCATCTACTTTCTAGACTCGTTTCTTCGTTTCTTCAGGGCTCATAAAGGATACCAAGAACAGCTGGGGAAAGGAAGTCCATTACGGCAGAGTGACGCATTATCATGACTAGAAGTTGCTCGATTGGTCGAAGCTTTCCTTCATGACTGAGTGTGCTCGGAGGCATACATAATTGCGGTACAGATCTTAGGAACAATTTGCGTCCCACTTCACAGTCGATTTTCTGGGAAAGGCGCCACCCACTATTCCCACACTAGAATCCACAATGCCAGAAATTAATTTTCGATAACTTCTAGTTAGGCGAATTTTCGAACAGCTCAATATCAACAAGGTCCTGATGAAGTGTCCGTCATCGTACTTAAAAAGTGTGCCAATGAACTCGCCCCAGTATTTTGCAGACTTATCAACCTGTCTTACAAGGAAGGGGGTTTTCTTTCTTGTTGGAAGATTGCTCCTGTTTAGCCTATTCCCATAAAGATCAAGAAAAATCTTCCAAAACAACTATAGAACAGTCGCTTTGCTATCAGTGATATCAAAAATCATGGAAAAAGCACAGTAAAAGATCTTTTAAAAAAACTAAATGAAACAGACAACGCTATGTTTTACAAGGAAGCAGACATTTTCTTTCAGAGATGTTTGATTGCCTGAATAAATGGTATGATTTTGAAAATTCTGAGTACCTACAGTAAATTGAGCATACTTTCAATGAAAAAACCGATAACGTGGGATGATTTGAGAGATTTGGCTGTTGATGAAAATAAACTTTGAGATTTTTGCATTTTAAGGGAAGTTCTAGATAGCATTGTTGAATCAAATGAAAGAGTGGATTTGAGGTGGGCAAATTTTGTTTCAACCATCGAAAATGGAGTTGGTGTTATGTTAAAAAAAATTGTTTCATTTGTTTTATCTGTACCTGCATCTAACGCTGCATGCGAGCGTATTTTTAGCATAGTATTCGATATATGGACCAAGGAAAGAAATCGTTCAAATGAAGAACATGTCAAGGCGGAAATTCAAACTTTTTTCAATTTTAAAATAGACTGCAAAGAGTTTTTTAAAATTTGTCTATTCTATGCCAGATATTTTAAAATCTGTTCGTTCAAATGTAAAAAATAAGTTCGAAATAAAATAAAAGGTTATGATAATCAATTTTTTTTCTTCCGGATTTAGACAGCTAAGAGGTGGTAACCCTACCTTTGTGTGGCATGAGGGTTTGCTGACCAAACTTCGTTGATATGGCTTGTTGGATCATTTTTGTGGATGGCTCTCCAGCTTCCTGAAAGAAAGTTTCCTGTAAGTGGCTCGATGGATATCTTTCGAATACTTTCACCATCAAAGCTAGTGTTCCCCAGGTATCCATATTGTCTCCAACCCTATTTTTATTGTATATCAACGACTCATTGGAAAAAACCAAGAATCCAAATTATTGCTTCGCTGACGACAGCACACTTGTCTCGTCATCACATTTGGATTCCAGGATATCGGCGCTGAGGGGACAGCTAATGCATCATAATGTACAGGATAGAAATTGTAATACACAGAAATCTACTTCGTCACTTCTCGGAGAACGTATAGAGTGGTCAACGTAAAACGCTTAGCGTATCACATTGATCACGGCGCAAAGAATCCGTCACTAGTAAAACCATAATCGATTTGACTGCGCTTTGTCCAACTTCACCCATGCATGATATAAAATCTTATCTTTCCTTTATGCGGGTGGGCCCTTTAAATAATTTTTTCCCTCTTTGATTGATTATTATAATATTACATTATTACGTACTATAGGAATTTATTTTATTTTAATGGGCTCTAGGTCATTAACGTATATGTATACGTAAATATTCCCATTGTTGAGGATACTTATATAAAAAACCTTCTGCTGATAAAACAACATAATAAGGCTGTCATTAGTCCTTTTTAATGGGTGCATTAACTGAAATTACCAAAAATTTCTCCATAAATTATATCTGGGATTTTATTTTTTGCGCAAATGACTAGTCATT